GGCCCCCCCCCCCCCAACCAAATAAGTATATAAAACCAACAAAATGTGAAGTCACATCCAGGATGTGAGGTCTACACAGAAAGGCATGGAAGAGGAACATCTCCATCTTCCATGAACCCCAGAACCCTGTCTATATTCCCTGAGTAGGAAAACCCAGGCCAGGTGCCAGGGTCCACTGTGTTAGGGTCCATGAACTTAAGTGAAGAGTGGGGTGACAGGGGCAAGCTCACCTCTCCAGGCCGGATCTTGATATAGAAGTTACTCCTCTTATAGGAGATCTTGAGAATCTTTGGCCAGGCAAAGCGGTTGATTCTCAGGCGGTCCCGGTAGATGAGTAAGCCATTGGCACAGACACCTAGCATGATGTCAATGCCCTCAGAGTCCTGTACAAGAACACAGCATAGAATGGGAGGCCTTGGGCCAGGCACTGACGACTGCCACCCCCTATGATCCAGGCTGGAGTCCCCTGACTAATCTCTCCTGCTCTCATCTAGTCACTCTCTTAGTCATGATTCACCACTCACTTCTTCAGTCACTCGCTCTGTCAATCATTCATCCACTTAGCCAACATTTAGAGACATGCTCAATGACAGGCCATGCGCTAAGAGCTAGGGACACAGAAATACCCTAAGACCTGTCTTTCTCTTGCATCCAATCTAGTGGTGGCACAAGCAGGTTCATGAATAAGTTGAATACAAGGGGAAAATGATTTTTTTTAAAGTTATATATGTTGAGAAATGAGAACCAAAAAAGTTCTAAGCTAGAAGTAAGGCTATCTGGGACACTAGACCCTGGAGGGGCTAGTAGTTAGTTCCTCAGGCACCTCCTAAAGGCATGGGAATGCTGGGCTTGACTGTACCTTAGCGTGGTGCAGATCAACTCCATACATGGAAAGCTTCTTGGCATTCTCCAGGAAGTGGATTTCTGCCTCTCCTGGGGTCATGCCCCTGAGGGAAAAAAAAGTGATCGCTGGGTCATGGCAAAGGCCCTGGCTAAATCCAGATGGCTGCAGGTACCACCTTCAGAACCAACCATCCCAGAAAGACAGGTGGTCGAGCCTTGCCTGAGGCCCTCCTCTCTGCCCTCTGGACAGGATCGTGAGTCCCTTCACTTCAATCTACAAACTCAGTCTTCTGCAAGGTCCAGTTTTATTTTGTCTGAGAAATAGACAAAGGCTAGACTGGGAGTCAGGATTTTTGGGTTTTTGTTTTGTTTTGTTTTGTTTTGTTTTGAGACAGAGTCTCACTATGTTTTTTTTTTGTTGTTGTTTTGTTTTGTTTTGTTTTGTTTTGTTGTTTTGTTGAGACAGGGTCTCACTATGTAGCCCTGGCTGGCCTGGAACTCATTAGGTAGATCAGGCTGGCCTCAAATTTATAGAGACCTACCTGTCTCTGCCTCCTGAGTGATGAGGTTAAAAGCATTTTTCACCATGCCCAGCTTTACCCTCTTTTCTTAAGAACTATGTCAAGAATCATGGCCCATCTTTGCTTTGGCTGCTAGGAAGCTCAGACTACATTTTATACTTATAGCAAGCATTTATCAAGGACTATATGCTGCTTAATGAACTCATTCGATCAACACAACTCTGTGAGGCAGGTGCTATTGTTAGTCCCATCCTCTAGATGAGCCACCTGGAGTTTTAGAGGAGGCTGAATAAGTTGCTGAAGGGCACAGCACAGCTATTAAGTAACAGCAGTGTCTGCATTTGACTCTAATGTGGCTCCAGAGTCTGTATTACAAACCACTTGGTTAAATCTGTCTCTTGCACCCTCTGGCTTCTGTTTCTTCCACCCTGTCTACCTTCGAGCTTCTGTGTGGGATACATGGCCACTAGATGTCAATGGGCTTTGAGAGCAAAGAGCTATGAAGACAGCTGCTGACATTGCTCAAGTGCCTGTTGATCTGCCTTTCTATGGATTATTATGACTTACAACTCTCCAGGGCATCTTGCTATCTAGGACAGGGATAAAAGATAGATAGTAGGCAGGGCACCCTCATCCTATGCCCAGGTGGCCACAGCTAACCAGTTGTGTCCTACTAAACACAATTCCACAGCAATCAATGTAACCCAGTGAAGCTCATGTATGAGTTTCTGGGAGTGTTTGCTGTCTGCCACACCTAGCAAGCTCTTCCTCCTCATATCTGGCCATACCCTACTCTCCAGATGCAACCTAAAACACCCTCCCATTCTCTCCATCCTGCACAAGGATATAATACCACCAGAGTCCTTCCCTGGGTTCCCATAACAACCTTGAACTTGGAACCTAAAGCACTTACAGCTTAAACAGACCTTACAGATCATTTTGATCTAGAGGTAGTATCCCCCACAGTGCAGGCATTAGGGGACAGCAATGGGGTGCATTCTGGTTCTTACAGTTCATGAGGGTGTGTGTGCTGGATAACTTGAGTGTCAACTTGACACACCTGGGTTGAGGGAGCCTCAATCGGGGAATTTCCTCTATTGGACTGGCCTGTGGCCATGTCTGAGGGGCATCTTCTTGATGAGTGATGTGGGAGGGCCCAGCCCACTGTGGGTGGTGCCACCCCTGGGTAGATGGGCCTGTGTTGCATAAGAAAGAAGGCTGAGCAGGGGCCAGGGAGCAAGCCAGTAAGCAGTGTTCCTCCATGGCCTGTGCTCCAGCTCCTGCCTCCAGGTTCCTGCCCTGAGTTCCTACCTCGGGCTCCCCGATGAATTGTGACCTGGGAGATGTAAGATAAATAAACCTTTTCCTCCCCAAGTTGGTAGTGGTCAGAGTGTTTTGTCACAGCAATGAAGAAACAAACTAGGACATTTAATGCCTGTAGGCCAGGGGAGCTGAAACCCTGCACAATGAATTCTCTTGCTTCAAATGCCACTGGTTGAGGAACACCGATCATCTCAGTTGTGCATTCATAGGTGAAAACTGGGCTTACAGAGGTTCCACACTAGCCTACAATCACATGTCTGAATAATTATCTTCTAACCCCAGAACAAAGTATTCAATCCACAATTCAATAAAGTATACAATCAGTAAAATAATCACAGATAACAACACTAAGCCCAGACCCAGTATGCCTTTAATGTGAGCAGTGTGACCACCTAACCACCCCACAGGGCATGCTGACCAGCACCATGCTAAATAGATGAGCAAGCCAAAGCACAGGAGGTGAACCAAACTGCCACATCCCCTGGTTAGAAAGTGGCACGGCTGGATGGTGAACCCAAGCAGGTTGGCATTAGCACTCAAACTTTTGAACTTTATACCTAAATCTCTGCATCAGGACCCTTACTCAGAAGCACACCTCTGTTATTATTATCTCCAGATAACAGAGAAGGTAACCGATCCTCAGAGACTCAGAGCAGGGAATTATCACAGCCACACAGGAACTCAAGACATTGAAGCCCAAGTGGTCCCTTAATAGTCACACAGCTAGTTCCCGTTATTCTGTCTCATAGAAATGACCTGCCCCAGATACCTCAGGTTAGGGGCAGTGCCAGGTGGCTTAAGTATGGCACAGCATCCAAGACCTAGGCCTTCAAGCCTGTGAGGAGGGTCCAGCCAGTCAGCCACGAGGCCCACTCACCTGTATGTCTTGTGCAGCTCCATGATTCTTTCTTCCAGCTCCCGGGTCTGGTTCGGGGCAAAGCGGAGCTCACTGACATAGTTACCGACGTGCTCCTCAGCATCATAGTCACCCAGCTCAGCCTGCACTGCATAGGAGCCCAGCAGGGCATGTGTGACAAAGGAGCAGGGCAGCCGGCCAGTGATGATGTCTGCCCGAAGCTGCAGGCATAGATAGTACCTAGAGACATGGACAGAGGGAGTGGGCACAGGCTATACCTCTAGAGCCTGGAGCCCAAAGAGGATCAGCTCAGTGGAAAAGGACAACCCCAGACACAGGCATTTCATGGTTGATAAGTGGGTGTGTCCCATGAAACAGGTTTTGAGACATGCCACATTGATTCCCAGTGGTTTTTGTTTGTTTCTGAATTTGAAGAATTTTTTTTTCCTACTATAAGAAACTTGGCTGGTTTGGCCCTTGGAAAAAAAAATGTTATGGGGCTGGAGAGATGGCTCAGTGGTTAACACTACTGGCTGCTCTTGCAGAGGGCCAGGGTTCAGTTCTCAGCATCCACATGGCAGCTAACAACTGTGGAAAAATCCTATTCTAGGGGATCTGACACTCTCTCTGGCCTCTGTGGGCATTGCACAACACAGATGCACTTACATACATGCAGGCAAAACACTCATACACACAAAATAGAAAGTAAAAATAAACAAAAAAAATGTCATGTAGTTTTGCTTTACTTGTTTGGTTTGTTGGTTGGTTTGTGTTTTGTATGTGTGTGTGTGTGTGTGTGTGTGTGAGATATATTGTACGCCTATAGTGTGTATGTATACATTCATGTGTGTGAGCATGTCACAATATGCGTGTAGAAGTCAGAGGACAATCCTGAGCACAGGTCCCTGCCTTCCACCTTGTTTGAGGCAGGCTCTCCTTGTTGTATTGCTGCTGTGGTCACTAGGCTAGCTGACCCTCAGACTGTCAAGGATTCTCCTGTCTCCCCCTTCCATCTCAGCATAAGAGAGCTAGGACTACAGACGCACACTATCACATCCATCTTTTTGAGTCGGTTCTGGGGACTGGAATTCAGGTCTGCACCCTGTGTGGCAAGTGCTTTACCCACTAGAACATCCCCCAGCCCAGTTAATAGGTTTTTGAGACAGGGTTTCACTATGTAGCCTAGGCTGTTCTTGAATTCATGATCTTCTTGCCTCAGTCTCCCAGGTGCTGGGATTACAGGCATGTACCACTATCCCTGGCTACCATGTAGTTTTAATTATGCTATTTGATGTTCTATTTTTTCTTTTGTTTTTCTTTTTCAAAGGGTCTCACTGCATAACTCAGTCTTGCCTCAGACTCAAAGAGATCCTCCTGCCTCAGTCTCCTATCCCAGTGATGGTATGATAGGCACTTACTACCACACCCTTGGTAGCTCCTGGGGATACAATCCAGGACTTCATACATGCCAGGCAAGCACAGTACCTAAGCTACATCTAACTGAGCTACATCTTCAACCCTGTAATTTAATGTATTCTTGGACAGAAGAAAATGAACACTTTAGAAATGTTTCTGAGTTTCCTCATTTGATGGCCATTCCATATCCTTTCAAGGTCACCAGCTGTTTTCAAGGTATTCTAGGCATTTCTCCTCCATGAATATTCAGAAATGCATATGGTTTTAATTGATGGGTATTTTCAATATGGAAATTGTTATCAAATACTATGTCTGATTCTAGAGTTTGTTTTGTCACACCTAGTGACATGCCTTAGAGCTGTTCTCATGATCTCCATGTGTACTTTTACCTCTGTGCTGTAACCTACAACCTACAGCTTGTTAATACTCTTCCCAAACTTTTTTCTACATTTATTTGTGTGTATGCATGCCACAGTGCATGTGAAAGTCAAGAGGACAATTTGTGGAACTAGATTTTCTTCCAGCATGTGGGTCCTGGGAATTGAACTCAGGTTGTCAGGATTTGGTGGCAAGCACCTTCACCTATTGAACCACCTCACCAGCCCTCTTCCCAAACTTTATTCTGTCTCTAGCTCCAAGTGAATTGTCTGAAAACCAAAACGGGCTAAAGAAGCACTTCTAACCACCAGGCCATGATTTTTTTGTAACTTACATTCACAGTTGGATAATTTTCCAATTTTTAGAACCATTTAAGCTATTTTATATGGCTTCTGCAATTACTGTGCACTAAAATAAAGCAAGGTCTGCCTCACCCTCAGCCGGTGGTGGCTCCTTGCCCTTTTTTTCCTGTTTTGCAATTTTTCCTTAACTGTCCAATTTTCTTCCTTTAAAGTGGCTTTGACTTGGTCTAATTTTCAGTGCCCTGTGACATTATTTCAGTCAGAACTGAAGCCCTGGTAATGAGCACTTGCAGCCTCAGTGTGTGCTCAGGGCCAATGTATAGACTCAGGATCTATGGCCACTCACCCGCCACAGGTGTAAAGCATAGACCTGTGACATTTTGTTCAAAAGTCTAAAAATTCAGAAATCACTGCCAAATGCTCTGACCAGTCCAACATTTCAATCAATCTGTCATTTTGAACATTTTATTTTAGGCCTCACTATTTTTGACTATATCAGCTGCTCCTACAACCCTACCTTCTAGAGCCATCTGTGCTGAGCAGGGCAAACTTCCTCCTGGTGTCCCTGGAAGCCCGATGCCCACAGTCTGACACAAAGAGAAGACACTCGAGGAGCTGTGCTGCCCAAAGCTCCGAATTCAGATGTGACCACTGTTATCTTGGCCCCCAAGCTGACTCAGGGCCCAGAAGGGGCACTAAAGACAAGGCCTCGGGCCTGGTCTAGTCTAGAAACATCTGTCTTCTCTCCCAAAGCTAAAGGCAGCATCTTTTAAAAAACTTTATTTTGGATTGTGTGTGTGTGTGTGTGTGTGTGTGTGTGTGTGCGCGCGCATGAGTGTTTTGCCTGCATGTAAATGCACCTTTGGTTGCAATGTCCATGAAGGCCAGAAGAGGTCACTGACTCCCCTGGAACTGGAGTTATTTACAGCAATTGTGAGTCACCATATGGATGCTGGGAACTGAACCCAGGTCCCCTGCAAGAGCAGCGAGAGCTCTTACCTGCTGAGCCATCTCTCCAGCCCCCTAGAGGCAGCATCTTGAACTAGGTATCTTGTTTAGCAAATAGGTATCAGCATTAAAAATAGCTGGGCGTGGTGCACACCTTTAATCCCAGCACTCAGGAGGCAGAGGCAGGTGGATCTCTGTGAGTTCAAGGCCAGCCTGGTCTACATAGTGAGTTCTAGGACACCTGAGGCTACAGGGAGACCCTGTCTGAAAAAGACCAAAAAAAAAAAAAAAAGTTAAAAGAAGCCTGGGTATAATAGCTCATGGATAGTAAGTGCAAGGCCCAAAGCTCAATCCACAGTACTCCCCAGCACAAATTTCTAACTTCACTCAACTTTCAGATGCAATTCCCACAGGTCAGTGATTTACTGGCCCTCAACAGCAACTGTTTTAATTTGTAAAAATTTGTTACTGGAGTGTGTGTATGATGGGGGGAGATGTATGCAACAACACGCATGTGGAGGTCAGAGGGCAACTATGGAGTTGGTTCTCCCCTTCCACTTTTACATGGATTCCAGGAATTAAAAACGCAGGTTGACAGGCTTGTGCAAGCAAGTGCCTTTACTTGCTGAGCCATGTTGCTGACCTACAGCAACCATTTTAGATTGATCTGTCCTTTTAAATGCATAACAGGCCCCATGGCCCCCTCAGACATCTCTCCTCTGAGGTTAAAGCCCAGTCACCACTGACCTCTGCATTTGGGTTCTTGTTTTCCTCACATTCTCTGCTTCCTTTGAGATTGTCTGGCTGTGGATTGGCATTTGTCACTAGCACTATATACACCATATATATCCTGTGTCTCCCAGGGCCAGCATGCCCAACCCTCTTTCATACTTCCGCAGGTCAGCGCGTTGAGCCCTCCCTCTGCAGTCCTCACCTTGTGATGTCTTCTGTCAGCTGGGCTGGGTCAGGTGGGTAGAACTTGACTGTGAAGGCAAAATTCCAGGGGCTGCCTGAGAAGAAAAGATGGGGAAAGATCAGAGAGGCCTCGTCCTGGTGGCTGTTGTCTCAGATACACTAGCCAATAGGTGACCACGCACAGCCTTCTCCTATCTCTAGTCTCAGAACAATCTAATCCAGGGCCTAGAACATTACTCCTACTGACAGATGAGGAAATTGAGGCCCAGCCTAAAAGACCTGTGTGGTAGCACACACCTTTAGTTCTAGCACTCAGGAGGCAGAGGCAGAGGCAGATGCAGGTGGATCTCTGTGAGATCAAGACCAGCCTGGTCTCCATAGTAAGTTCCAGGCTAGCTCTCAGAGAGAGAGTGAGAGTGAAACGAGAGAGAGAGAAAGAGAGAGAGAGAGAGAGAGAGAGAGAGAGAGAGAGAGAGACTTGTGAGCAGGTTAATGAGATGGCTCAGTGGGTAAAATCATTTACTATACAAGCCTGATGACCTGAGTTTAATTCCTAGAACCCATGGTAGGAGAAACTACCAAAAATTGTCTTCTGACTCCATATGTACAATGTGACACACACAGACACCTGTAAATACACACTAATAATATGTTTATTTTTTATTTTTTGAGACAAGTCTCCCTATAGCCCCAGTTGGCCTGGAACTCACTATGTAGACCAGGCTGGCCTTGATCCTCTGTCTCTGCTTCCTGAGTGCTGGGATTAAAGGCATGCACCATCATACCCAGCCTAAAAATTTTTTTTAAAAAAGACTAGGCTAACAATAAGAAGAAAGTCAATACTGCATGCCATAGGCAGGCACTGAACCGCATCACTAAACCATGAATAATTCATATGATTAGCACAGGAGGATATAGAGCATGCTAGGCAAGCACTGAGCCACATCTCCGACCTGAGTTTCCTTTTCATAGATGAAAATTCTAATGGTCACTCAGCTAACTGGTAACAGAGAACAGGTTTCCAAATTCTAGTCATCTAAACCCAGGGCTCAGGCTCTTGACCACAAAGACTCCTTGGAAAGAGTATCAAGGGAACGTAAGCCCTGTCTCAAGAAGAATAGCAACAATAATCAATAAGTATAGTTGGTACGTTGTGGGTACTGGAGCCCTTACTGTTGTGTCACACACATGATACCTCATTTCATCCTCACAACACTCCTAAAGCTAAGCACTATTATAAGCCTACTTTAAAGTGAGGAAACTGAGGCATGGAATAGTTATATAACACAAGAGGTAGTGACTGAGCAGGAATTCAAATCCAGGCCGTCTGGGCCCAGCGTTTGTCCAGAAGAAAACAACCACTGCACTGAATGTTGTCTATGTGTCTGTCACATCAATGTCACCCCAGCTCACATACAGGAATGACTAGTCCACTTACCAAGGAGAAGCAGAGACCCAGATGGTCTGCCTGAGGTGATAGGTGCTGAGGTTTAAAGAAGAAAGGGCTATCTAGGAAGCCCAGGATACAAGGGCTCATGAAGCCTTTTTCAGAACATTCAGAGGCTGTCGCCAACAACAGAAAAGATGCTAAAGTGCTCCCCTGGGTCCAAAGGACAGGACTAGGATGAAGAGGTGGAAGTCTCAGGGATTGGGATGGAGGCAAGAGGTCTACTAGAGGAGGCACTTATGTGTGTGTTTGTGTGTGTGCAAGCGCACACAACGCACGTTTGCCAGTAAAGGCCAGAGGCTGATGTTGGGTGTCCTCCTCTATTGTTCTCCGCTTTGTTTATTTATTTATTTATTTATTTACTTATTTATTTATTTACTTATTTATTTATTTAGGTCTTTTTTGAGACAGGGTCTCCCTGTAGCCTCAGCTGGCCTGGAACTCACTAACACACTATGAACTCACAGAGATATGCCTGAATCTGCCTCCTAAATGCTGGGATTAAAGGCATGCACCACCATGCCCAGCTTCTACCTTTTTTTTAAAAAAAAATTTTATCTAACATTTTAATAGTCTGTGTATGAGTGTATTACCCACATGCATGTAAGTGTGCCCATGTTGTATAGTGCCCACAGAGGTCAGAAGAGGGCATCAGATTCCCTGAAACTGTAGTTTCAGATGGGTGTTAGCGGCCATGTGGGTGTTGGGAATAGAACCTGGGTCCCCTGAAAGAGAGCCAGTGCTCTCAACAGCTGAGCCATCTCTCCAGCCCCCCCAACCTTATTTTTAAATATTTTCAAATTTATTCTTTAACAATGTCATACATGCATACACTGTATCGATCATATCCATCTCCCACTCCCTGGACACCTGTAACATGCTTATTTAAACTCAGGTCCTCATGCTTATGCAGAAAGCACTTTACCTGTTGAATCAACTCCCCAGGCCCCCCCCAAGGGGAGGCACTTCCCGAGGACCAAGGCTGTATGGTATAAAGGCCATGACTTGACAAGCCAGGCAGGCAAGGCCTCCAGGTTTGCTCTGGAGAATGATCCAGGGCCTGGTCATTCAGCCTGACTGCCTTTTTTTTCAGGCTACTGGTCTTTATTAAATCCTACATACTTGGCTGCCCGTATCTGTTCCAATTCTTTCAGGCATGAGAGGCAGGCCTCCCAGCAGGGCTGGCATTACTAAAGACAGCTTAAAGCCCAGACCTAGAACCCTGTCAGTCTACAGGAGTATGCTCTGCCTATGTGCCTGCCTCTTTGTCGCCAACTGACAGGAACCCACAGGAAAAATTCCTCAAGCCCCCTCCTGCAGAGTCAGCTGGCATCCCCAGGCCCAGCTGCCTGCTGTCATGGCAACAGACTCAGCTACAGCTTCCTAGCCAGGGGACCAGGGAGTCTAGGAGGTGGGGCCTGGAAGAAGCATCTTTGCCTCCAGGCCCTAGTCTACCTACTGCTAGTCCCTTTGCTGAGGCCACTGACCTCCTCCTATTTGACAGTTCCCTCACCTCTCCCAACATGCTCCTTCTCTCTGGGCCACAAAAAACAGGTTGCTAGCCTGCTCACCTGCCTCCTCCCCTAGACTTGAAAAGAGCATAGGATGAAGGCCAGGGCTCAAGACTGGCTAGGCCAGCACTTGGCTCTGTGACCTTGCGTGAGTAGCTGCCACTCTCTGGACCTCTGAGGAAATGATCATTAACTACCACAACAGCCCTGGACAGGAGAGTAGCTGTTTTCAGGCCATCTGTTTGTCCCTTTGTCCTGGATGACTGCAAGGCTCACAATCCTGAATACATTTACAGTTTCTGTACAATCTGCTGTACGGCTTTGCATAGTTATTTCTGCTCTCTAGGTCTCAGACTTGTCAACTATAAAAAATGTCAACATCATTCCTTCCCTGCTTTCTCCAAGACCTGCCAAAGGAGCACAGAGAACCAGGAGCATACCCCAAAGTAGGAGGGAGCACTACAACCAGGCCCCGCCCACCCATCCACACCAACCAGTCACAGCAGCACTCACTGCGGATCTGCTTCTTAATTTCCTTGGAGGGGTCTAGCCAGTTCTAGAAGAGAAGAGATGATAGAATCCTTAAGAGGGAAGACAGAGGAGAGGGCAGCATGGGGTTAGGAGAGAGGACTATCCTGAAATAGGCAGCCACAGACTCTAATGGAGAACACACTTGTCTAGACCAATTTCCTTGGCACTGGGTAGTGTAGCCTGAACTCCCAGCAGGGCTGGGACATGGTGTCAGGGCTGGTATCACCCTGAGATGGCCACAGTGATCAGGTATTACAGCTATAACTGGAAGAAGGAAAGTCAGGCAGCCCTCCATCAGGGTGGGGAGAACACACTGAGGATTTCAGTTCTCCAGGGAACCCATACCATGCTTTTTGTTACCTACCTGGGAGTGATTTATGGATCACCAAGAAAGGACTAGGGCAAGGGCCGGGGCCAGAGAACTGAAAGTGGTTAGGCTGGCTGATGTATAAGCAGAATATATCTACTGAGGGTCTGAGGGAGTTTTGGGGGATGTGGACTGGACCATGGAGGCCTAAAGGAAGAGGGCTCCCTGCCCACCTGCTATAGCAGGCCCCCAGCCAGGTACCTTCTGGCTGTCGGCATCACAGAAGGTCAGACCGAAGTAGTCCTTCTCCAGGAGGTTGAGGTGCTCACAGACCAGATCAAACAGCACCTGGCCCCGGCCGTGCTTCTGAAAGGGAGAGAAAAGCTGCTATGAGGCTAGTGCACCTGCCAGTAGGGCTGGGAACTGACCCAGGTCCCACCAGGACATCTAGAGAACCCTAAGAGTCTTCTGGTGGCTGGGCAAGACATCAGCCACCTGGCTTCACTCTCTGAGTCTACAATGCCCACCTCACCCAGGTTCTTTCAAGCTCTGCTGGGACTTTCCTAGACTATAGGCCTGCTTGGGAGCATGCTGGAGTAGAGGCTAGAGAGTGATTTTTCCTTCTTAACAGCAATCAAGAGGAAGGAGCTGAAAAGCAGAGTCCAAAGGCTTTGGGGTTAGAGGAAGAGAAGACAAGACTCCTTCAAAGATATGAGGCATAGGGAGAGGGGATGGTCAGGACTCAGCGTTGGAGTATGACTATCCTTTTGTGGTCAGCCCTGCACATCAACCCTCAGATTGTGGCATCCTTATCAAAGCATAATACCCTGAGACCATTTTCCTGGTGCCAGGCCTGTACTGAGCCTATCTGGTTGACAATAGTGATAGCCCTTTCTGAACCTTAGTGCTACCACCTGTACAAAGGAAGGCCAGGCAGGACATCCCTCCAGACACTGCAGCTGGTCTTCTGGTTTGGCTTGGACTCAGGACACATAAGAACCAGCCTGCTTCTGAGGCTAGTCAGCCTGCGGCAGACTGGGCATTGGGTACTCCCTTACCTCTACCTCACACTCGTATTCAGAGGCATCAAGCAGAGTGACTCGGCAGATGGCACTCTTGAACTTCTTGGCAATCTTCTGGGGTGACTTCTGGGCCTTACTGGGCGTGGTCCTCTCAGACAGGCCATCGGCCTCGCAGTAGTCCTTCTCCTCCATATCTAGGCTCTGTGGGGCCAGCCAAGGAAAGCAGTTAGTGACCTTGAAACAGCATTTTACCCAAACAAGAAGCATTTGGGGTGGCTGAGACAGAGACACACTCCAAAACAAGTGCTACCCTCTGAGCCCCACAGGGTGGACAGGGGCTATGGTTGGTGCAAACAGGTGGAGAGCTCCTATTTCCATGTGAGCTGAGAGCTCCACATCTTCCCTACAGGCAGCCGATGCAGGCAGGAGCAGCCCAGAAAACCAAACCTGCCGCCATGCTGCCCTAGAACAGCACATGACTTCTCAGGGCATTTGTCTGAGCTCTTCTGTCTTGTCTCTAACTGGGTCTAGCATGAAGGTAGGAGCTACGGTGAGTCTCAGGTGGTGGAGGTGGGGCTGGCACTCTACCCCAAGCTCCCAGGGGTATGGCCAGGTCCCTGACTCTCTGGGCCTGTTGTGAATCTCAGAGCTCACTGAATCTTCTGTAGTTTTCAGGGGATGAGTTTTGCTCCAGGAAAACCCTGGGCTTATCAAGCTTGAAGATAAGCCTTAGAGGCAGGAAGCTAAAGTTGAACGAACTCTGTTTGGAATCGATTCGGGGTCTGACTAACACTTCTGCTGCTTTAATGGCAATGGACTTTGGGCAGCTGGCCTTACCGCACTGAGCCACAGTGCCTCTCAGTATAAAATGGAGAAAATAACAGGTCCTTTCTGAGGTTTGGGAAAGTGAAACACAAAATGACCACTGAGCTGGATAGCTTCAGCTGTCAACTTGACACATTTGGGCCCAGGGAACTTCAACTGGAGAATTCCTCTATTAGACTGGCAATGGACATGTCTATGGGCATTTTCTTGATTGTTGAGTGATATGGGAGAGACGGGTCCACTGTGGGTAGTGTCACCCCTGGGCAGGTTGGCCTGGGCTGTATAAGAAAGCAGGCTGAAGCCAGGCGTGGTGGTGCACACCTTTAATCCCAGCACTCAGGAGGCAGAGATAGGCGGATCCCTGTGAGTTCAAGGCCAGTTTGGTCTACATAGTGAATTCCAGGACAGCTGGGGCTATAGGGAGACCCTGTCTCTAAAAGACCAAAAACAAACAAACAAACAAACAAAAACGAAAAGAAAGCAGGCTAAGTCAGAAAAGCAGGCTAGTAAGCAGCATTCCTTTGTCGCCTCTGCTTCAGTTCCTGCCTCCAGGCTGTTAAGATGAAACAAACCCTTTCCTCCCAAGTTGCTTTTGGTCAGTTTTTTATCATAGCAATAGAAAGTAACCACAGTGGCCCCAGCCCAGAGTTCAACACATAATAAGTCACATCTGAATTTTCTTCTTTCTTGCTAAGAAATACTAGAGCCCTAAGAACTGGACGGAGAGGACTGGTGGGGCAGGAAGAGGGATGCCCTGGATCCTCAGGTACACACCTGTTCAGCAGGCCGTGTGTCCTGCTGGGGCGGATGCTTCTCATTGGAGTTGGCCTCTGGGTGGCCGTGGCCTGTGGGGGTCACTGGGGTGGTCACAGCAGCGGCAGCCTCAGGCTGCTGTGGAGCCTCCTCCTGAGCCTTCTTCACCTCAGAATCGGGGCCTGTCTCTGTTGTCATGGTGACCAGCACACCTGCATTGGCATGAAAGAGAACATGTGATAGGGAAAAGGATGAGTGTGATATCAAGGGGGCAGGAACCGCACGCGGCAAGAGACAGATGGAGACAAATGGACAGAGTCAGAGAAGAAAGGAGAGCAGTAAGGACAGAGGAAAGGGGAGGGGTTAGTGACCACAGAGGAGGTCACAGACCCCCACCCCTGTATCTGTAGTTACTCAGGGATCTTGACCTGCTGGCCCAGATTTGGGATGAAGGTCCTTTCTAAGGATGATAAGGATCTCTCCAGGGAGCCTCACTCTACTGGGAGCACTGAGTGTGGGTGAGGCCCTGGCCAGGTTGACTCTCTAATCATATGACCTGGAGACAGTGGCACCTCAGTGAATGCCAGATGCACTGAACTCAACCAAGAAAGCCCTGGGTTTCAGATCTGTGGGCACTGAATTTCAGCAAATCCCTTCACTTCCCAAGACACACACACTCAGAGCACACACAGAGAACACACACACATACACACACACACACACACACACACACACACACACACACACACACACACACACACACCAGCTTCACAGGATGCTGTCAAGATGGAGCCCCATGGATCAAAACAGGTAGGCACTTGTAAAAAAAAATGCACTGCGCTGCCTGCAGAAAGCCCAGGGGAGCAGAACTCAGGCTGAGTCTTCTGCAAATGTGGCAGTCACCTCACCTCTCTGGGACTCATCCACAAAGTGAGGGACTTAGGGGAATTATCTCTGAGACAGGCTATTCTTAACATTTTCCCCTTTGAAGCACTAAATGAGATTCCAGTAAGAACCAAGGACCTGCTGTCTAGCTCTTCTGTTGGAATTAGTAAAATCCTAAAAACAATAACCTCAACATCGGATCTTTATGTTTTATTCATTTAGTAAACGATCTGAAAGGACACTTTTCAGGATGTTAAGAGAGGTTAAAGGAAAACTTAAAGATTTAAAGGGCCAGGGAGAGAAGAAGCTTCATTTCGCACTTTATACACTTTAGAATTGCTTGACTCTTTTTTTTTTTGAACATGTATAAGTGTTTTGCCTACATGTAAGTGCACTTGTGCATGTAGTGCCTGCAAAGGCTAGAAAAGGATGTGGTACCCCTAGAACTGGAGTTTCACACCATTGTTAGTTACCATGTGGGTGCTGGCAACTGAACCTGGGTCATCTGCAAAAGCAGCGAGTGTTCTTAACTGCCAAGTTATCTCTCCAGCCCCTGGATCTTTTTTGTTTTGTTTAATATTTTATTTATTATTTTTATTTTATGTGTATGATACAAGTGTATTGCCTGAATGTATGTAAGTGCACCCGTGTCGTGCAATGCCAGAGGAGGTCAGAAGAACCTGCTGAATGCCCTGGAACTAGAGTTTTGGATAGCTGTGAGCCATCATGTGGGTGCTGGGAACTAAACCTGAGTCCTCTGCAAGAGCAGCCAGCACTCTTAACTGCTGAGTCATCTCCAACCCTGTTTTGTTTTTTGAGACAGGGTCTCACCATCATAGTTCAAGCTGGCCTTGAACTCACTATGCAGTCCAAGCTAGCCGTGAATTCTTTTTAAAAACAGTTTATTGGGGCTGGAGAGATGGCTCAGCAGTTAAGAGCACTGGCTGCAGAAGACCTGGGTTTGTATTCCACATGGAAGCTAATAACCATCCATAACTCCATTTCCAGGGGATCCAACACCCTCTTCTGTCTTCCACAGGCACTGCACGACATGGATGCACTCACATACATGCAGGCAATACACTCAAGTCACATAAAATAATAAATGAATCAATATTTTTTAAAAGTTTATTTACTATTATTACTATTATTATTGTGTGTGTATGTGCCTGTGCATGCACACACCATAGCACATATATCCATACATGTCAGAGAATAAGTTTTCGGGAGTTGGTTCTCTCCTTCCATGGCAGGCTCTGAGGATCTAATTTAAGTCATCAGGCCTCTGTTGCAAGTGGTTTTAACTGCTGAACCATTTTGCCAACCCAGGCCTTCTTGAACTCTTGATTCTTTTGCTTTAACCTCCTCAGTGCTGGGAATACAGGCATGTGCCATCATGCCCAACACTTGTATTCATAAGTAAAAACACCCACTCCTGATCTCAATCAGTGGGTTCTCAAAAAAGAGAGAGAAAGAGAAAGAAAAGAAAAAAGAATTCAGAGCTCAAATAGAATAAAGAGAAATAAGTAGGAATCATGGTTCCTGAAAATCTAGAGCCTTCCTCTAAATCCATCAAATCATAGTACATGAGAAAGATCCAGACACAACCTGGACCCCTTCCCTCATCCTGTCCACCATGAAAACCCTCAAACAGACAGACAGGCAGACTGGATCTACTCTGAGTTAGCCATATGCTCCAGACCTCACACTTCCATTTACATATTTATTTATTTATGTGCCAGGCATGGTGGCTCATACCTGTATTAGCAGCAGTGGAACAGAAGGGTTGCCACAAGTTTGAGGCTGGCCTGGGCTACAAAATGAGACCTATCTCAAAAACCAAACCAGGGGCTGGAGAGATAGCTCAGTCATTAAGAGGACTGGCTACTCTTGCAGAGGACCTTGGTTCAGTTCCCAGCACCAATAAGGCAGCTAACAACCATTCTTAATACCAGTTCCTGGGGATCTGATGCCCTCTTCTGCCCTCTGTGGGCACTGCATGCATGTGGTACACTTACATACAAACAGGCAAACACTGATGTGGATTTTTTAAAAAACAAACTAAATCAAACAAAAACAAATCAAAACACTTATATTTATGTATTCAAATTTGTATGTGGATGGGGTGAGAGTGGAACCCAAGGCCTCACATGCTAGGCAAGCACTTTGGCACTGAGCTGCATTCCAACCATTCCTTTTAATTCAGTTTCTCTCTGCATTCCCATGGACACTGGACTAGCCCAAGGCAAAGGGCACTAGACAGAAAGTTGGGAATCCTGAGGGCTCCCCCCTCAGTTATAGGCATGTCCAGGGCCATGAAGAGACCACAGGTATCCTCTACCCACCAAGGGCAGGGCCCATACAGAAGAAGCTGAAGCTCGAAGTACAAGTGAGAGGTAGGTATGTTCCTGATGCTGCTGTTAAGAAGCCAGGTCAAGAGGAAAGCTAGACTGCAGTCACACTGCTTTATCCCACCCAGAGGGGCTGTCCTCCAGCCCTTACCCTGACCTTAAGGGGCAGAGGAACACTTCAAGTTAGTTACATAAAGACACTCCATCACTCACATGATGCTAAGTACCAGCTCTGGACACAGCACAAAAGCTGTTGTCGGGGAGCTCCCAGCCTACACAGGATCAAACTGAGTCCTGTCTGCTGAGCTCAGGATCTGCCCTCAGCCTGTGCTTGAGGATACTGGGTTACCTCATATTAGGTAAGGCCAATAGGCAAGAACACTTTAAATAAATGCTTACTTAATTTTTACCTTAAAAACAACAACAAAAAACCCACAAAAACTTCTGATGCTTTCTGCTATGAGAGGCAGAATCCATGTGACCCTTGTGTCCAGGCAGCCCTGGAGGTGCATCCACTCCCCTTCCTGTGGCCTCTGTTGGGCTTCAGCCCAGACTCTCAGGACTTTTCTACCCATCTGAGTCTTCCTAGAAATAGACAGGAAAGCAGTCTTAGTTAATATTTCAATTTTGCCTGCAGAGCCTTCTGGCAGCTAGGCTGCAGGTAGGATGAGCAGGGCACATTTTGAGATAATTACTCTACCCCTCTTTCACAGATGAGACTCAGAGAGCAAAGGACTAGAGTGACAGTTACCTCCTCCTTCCCACCAGTTACCTGGCTTTCCAGATCTAAACTTCAAACCCAAAAGAACTTTCTCAAAGGAGAAAAGGCCCAGGCTGGCTAAACACCCAAGGAGGTACAGTGACCACATAGCTAGAGGCCAGCTAGACAGATATAGCTCAATCTCTCAGAGAGTAAAGGGAAAGGGGATACAAAAACCTTATATAGCATCTGATTGAAAAAGTACAGGGCAGGGTGATCTCCATAAACCAATGCTGTTAGTAAACACACAGCTACAGATGGTCGCTGATTTTCAATGGCTCAACTTAGAATTTTGACTTTATGATGGTGTGAAAGCAACCCTCTGCCTTCCACTTTCAGTATAGTAGTCAGTAAATTACAGGAGATATCTAACACCTTATTTGAAAATGGACTGTGTTCATTGCTTTGACTCAACTGTAGGCTGATGGGAGTGTTCTGATCACATTTAAGATACGCTGGGTTAAACTAGCATGTGTGGTGGGTGTGCTGATTAGTTTTTGTCAACTTGACACAAACTGGAGACACCTGAGAAGAGGGAACCTCAATTAGGAATTTCCTACATTAGACTGGTCTGTGGGGGCATTTTCTTGATTGCTAGTTGATGTAGGAGGGCCCAATCCACTGTAGAGGTACCAGCCTTGGGCAGGTAGACCTGGGCTGTATAAGAAGGCTAGCTGAGTGAGCCAGGGGAGAAAGCCAGTACGAAGCATTTCTCTGTGATTTGTGCTTCAGTTCCTGACTCAAGGTTTCTGCCTTAAGTTCCTACCCAGGCTTCCCAGCTTGGCTTCCCTCAGTGATGGATTGTAAGCGGTAAGCTAAATAAACCCCTTCTTCAAGTTGCTTTTGGTCATGCTGGTTAGCAAAGTAACAGAAAGCAAACTAGAATGGTAGATTAGGGTTAGGTAGGTTAAATGCGTTTACTAAGAGGGAGAAGAACAAGAAAAAGTAACAAAGGGTAAATATAATTGAAATACATTATATATATGTATGAAAATGTCATAAGGAAATCCATTATGTATAATTAATATGTGCTAATAAAACATCAATCAATCAGTAAACAGGAAAATAGAGAAATAAATGCAGACAATCCCCTCTCCCCATCAAAAAAAGGAGGAGGAGGAGGAGGAGCAGGAGGAGCAGGAGCAGGAGGAGCAGGAGGAGCAGGAGGGGGAGGAGGAGGGGGAGGAGGATTCAGAGCTTCAGTCTGGGAATAGAA